ATTTTTTGACATACAATTTAGCCAGTACCATCAGCTGCAGCAAAATCAAATGTACTTTCTGACTAAAATTTGGCAAAAGAGTCTTAAATATAATTTTAGTATTAAAAATAATATTACTTATGAGTATTAATCAGAAATATTACATTAGATTTGTCGTAAACATTTTTTTAAAGTTCTTAATACCGTGTAAATAAGTCAGAAATTATAAACACAAGTTTGAATGCTTCTTCATCATTCTTTCAACGAAAATTCAATTTCATCGTCATCTCTATAAGCTTTTGTTATGAAAACAATGCGTTAATTAATATGTCATCACCTAGACTGACAAATATAACGTAATACAAGCGAACCTCTGAATGCCATTTAGCGCTAGAACAATACTCGATGAATTGTTGAGAGGACAGGAACAAAAAATATGTATGGGTAAGGACCTTTTGTGTTAAAGCAAATTGTCGCTTACCTTAATAGCTAGTCTCAGATTAAATTTTATCTTTGCGCATGTATATAGATAAGAGACCCATCGAAGACTGGACAATAATGTGATGCTGTCTAGAATTTGTTCTTAGACAAGTCAATATCGGTTACCATCTTTCTTATATTGAAAAAAAAATAAATTATTTTAAAACAATTATTGCTAATTGTCTAATTTAAAATATTTCAGCATTTCCAATCGTAAAATTATTGTAATAGTGATTTAATTAATTATGTAACTTTTAAAATCGCAATTGTTTTTGTAACAAATTATGATTTAAATGATCAAGAAATATTATATAAACTTATTAAACTCGTCGAAAGATTGCAGATACTATTCAACTCTTTTGACATTTCTCAATAGCTTTCAAACTATTTCTTTGCTTAGACAATTCCAATTACCGTCAAGTTAACGATATCATTCGTGAATATCTTTCAAATGTCAAGTTGAGACGCATTGCGGTAGATTTTATAATTAGGCAGTTAGTGCTCGGATGAAGTGTATAAAAAAACTAAACGTAACTCCGATTGCGCACCGAGAGGAGTCAAAAAATATTATACATATTTTAAAACCACACTCCTTTAATCTGCAGTCAATAACACCCACAAATCCCAACTTGGGCCTGAATGGTGGCTTATGGCTTATTTCCCTATCATAGATAAGCTTTATTCCCCAACTATTCAGACATTACCACGTTAAGAACGATGATGATTTGGACCATGACTTTTATATCCTATCACGTTTCTTGCTTTTTTATTTCAAGTTGTATACATTTCCGATGCACCACATGCTTTGAACTATATCAGAATCATTATTATTTTTATCTGAATTACAATTTCTATAATTAACGATTTTAAAGGTGCTCATCCACTGCCTCTGCACGCACGCACCGGCCGGCCGTATGCACGCACGACACTTAACGGATGATATTAAAAATTCATATGACGTCATCAGCATAATTCCGACTTCAAAAATGACAGTCACATTTTTCATAGAAGCATCTATGAAAATGATAGTAGTCGTAAAGCAACTTTCGCAAGCGTCGCTCACGGGATGGGTGACCAAAAAATATTATTATCTCGAGCTCCTCCGTGCTTCGGAAGGCACGTTAAGCCGTTGGTCCCGGCTGCATTTGCAGTCGTTAATACCCTCCAATCCGCATTGGGCCAGAGTGGAGGGTCATGGCCCATCCTCCATAACCATCCATAAGGAAGGCCTGAGCCTGCAGTGGGGACGTAACGTAATGATGATCTATGAAAAATGCAACTGCAGTGGACGTATGACAACATCGACAAATACGTGCAATACGCTGCTTGTCGTGCGGCTGGTGCGTGTAGAGGCAGTGGATGAGCACCTTTTAACATATGATTTCATTTTTTGACGTTTCGGTCCCTATGACTCACTGATCATTTGTTTTATTAAACACTACAGTTTGTTCCAGCGGCTGCGCCTTCTCCTGTTTTATGTAGACCTGTCCTATATTAAACCTCGAGTTACACTGTATATTGCTGAAATACCGCATTAAAATTCGTTATGTAGATTAAAAGATCTCAGCGTACAGACAGCGGGAGGCAACTTTGCTTTATACTATACAAAGAAGATGAAGTCCACGAATAAGTTATAATTCAATTTAGATTAAAAATCTAATATCTTTAATAAAGAAATACTTTAATTGAAAAACGTACGAGCTATTAAAACTATGTATATATTGGCTTTGTCATTGTACACGGTGGGATATGCATAGCCTTTATTTCACAAGAGAATTCTAATGAGTGCATTCCATTATCACAAGCATCGGTGTTACCACTTCACGTCGGTTCAGCGTGTAAATAAATAATCAACACAGTATATAAGCCGTCAACTTATTGTAACAACATCAACGGCACATAACGATTAAGAGAGGCGTAAATTAAAAGACTCTTTTTATCTCATCGCGTCCGAGATAAATATCGAGATATACTTAGATTAGAATTTTGCAAAAAATGGTTTATATTAACGATTATTGTAAATGTGCTGCAAAATTCCCTCGGCTAAAATGTCTCACATATTTATAAAATAAAAAAAATCATTTCGTATACTTGTCAGTTCTGATATACCTTGACCTAAGTTACGCGATACACCTACCGACAGATATGCGTCATAATAATTGTCAGCTCACAACGGTCCACTGCTGGACATCTCCAGTCTAATTCTGTTATAGTCCAGTCTATCTGTATAGAATCTCAACTACTTGCATTTTTCCATAGATAGTACAGTCAACAGCAGAGCTGGTCTTCTCCGTTTCATTGTTATTTTGACTTATTTTTTTTCCTTATTCTGGGTTATTTTCATCCAACTTCTACCATTGACGTTCCTCAAATCATCACAGAAATCGCTTACCCCATCGGTTATCGATTCGTTAACAGATATGGCCAGATATATTATCAGATATGTATCGACCCTAAATTGCTCAAATAAGCAGCTAAAAATCAAATAGAGTGTCATACGAAATGTTTCGCTTAAGACAATAACAATACCATTAATAATATTTTTTTCTAATGAAATACAGGTTCCACTAATTATAGTAAAATGTAAAGAAAACTAATTTGCAGTAAAAAAAACCACACATTAATAAATAAACGGCAGCTCTTTGTAATTAAAAAAAGATCATTAATGCTGATTTAATATGTTGAGTTTTTTCTAAATTATTATTTAATACTTATTTAATTAACCCTCTCACAGCCGACGAGATACATATTTCATACAAATATGCCGTACTTGCTCGACTATCAAAGTTTTGTTTAATATGTGTTAATGTGTAATGTAATGGCGCTAAATTTATTGTCAAATATATGTAAAACGTTTCAAAATAAATCTGTTCATAGTTCATATCGTTAATCTACTCTTAGTAAATAATAAATATTGGCGTCCTCAGCGGTAACTTGAAACACTTCAAGTGGGAATCGTTTGATTTGTACAATAACAAATTACCTCAATTAATAAAGCGGTCTATTCATAACGGCTTTCATTTATCGATATCATTGTTTGAAGTATTATGGAGTATCTACTAATTGAAGCCACTCGATGTTTTGTTTTCGTGTATTTATATAAAAGCTGTATTTCTTGTTACAAGAAGTTTTTACGTAAAATTATTCATGGTTATTATTAAAAGTATAATAATAAGGTTCCCACAAGAATTTATATATTAAGAAACAGTATTTATTAAATGATTTTTGCAATTTCCTTCTTATAAGTATTTAAGCTTTTACACGTTTTTATCAATACATAAAGCACATATTATTAAATAGTTATTTTATTAAGTATCTACAATGTAGACCATAAAGATTAGTTATCTCATTATTCAATATAATTGTAACAAATAAATATTATTTATTTAGATATATAATAAAGCTAGATATGTCTATGTCTATGACCTATTGACGCTGACTGCGATACCCTTTTAGTAACTTTATAGAGACAATCTAAAGAGCACTAAAATGATTTTATAATGAGCTGACTATATTATAAAACTACGATATTAATCGTTTAGGGTTAGCAAGTTATTGGCTCGATGATAGAACATTTAAAATTGCAAGTAAAATTGCTAAGGTTAGAAAACTATCTTGCACGATATCTGCTGCCCATGGAACCAATGATTGTCAATGTACGAGGTCACAACTTCCAGGGCCCAGTGCGGATTCGTGGGTGTAAACGACTGCGGATGGTGGTCTTAACGTAGCCAGAAGCATGGAGGCATGGAGGAGCTTGATATAATAAATTTTTGGTCACACATCCTATGATAAGCCCTTGCGTAAGTCGCTTAGCTTCTATACCACAGGTCAAATTTAACTACTGCGCCTTCGAGTTGAGTGTGAAAGTTCCTGAATATCGCAGTTTTATAATAATTGTAATAGACTAACAGCCACTTCCACGATCGTCCATTATAATTGTCATTAGTTTAAAGCGATATTACCGATACGAATTTGACATTAATTAGAGCTTAGAGGCGTCATTAAAACTAAATGGACGTATGGGCAACTAACCATTAATGATGTTTCGGATCCTCTACACCAGAGGCTCCCAAATATTTTTTTCTCGTAGACCATTTAAAAAAAATTACTGGTTACGGTGGACCCCCTGCTGCTACATTTTTACCATATTCCCAAAATTAACTTTCAACTTGAGAACCCCTATTTTTATTTCACGTCAACGTGGTCTATGTTGAATCCCTCGTGGACCCCGGGGGGTTCACCTTGACCACTTAGGGAATCACTGCTCTACACGGAAACTGAAACGTCACGAAAGCAAATATAAACGCGCTGAAACTGTTTAAAGTTATTTCATTTATTATATTACAATTACTATAAAATTGCGATATTCAGTAACTTCCACACCCAGCGCAGGCGCAGGCGCAGTAGTTAAGTTTGACCTATGATACGGAAGCGAAGCAACTTTAACAAGAGACGGTCATTTAATGAATAGTGCGCGTAAAAATATAAGAAACCAGTATATAATAGACTAAAGTTAATATGTCCATTTTTGTCATCAGCAATGGGAGTAATGGTTCAAGAGAATACGAGCAGTCAGCGCCCAGTGAGACAAGCAGTGGGGGGGAGCCGGAGCCACGTACTCCGGCGCCCCCTACTGACAAGTACGATGACTTGGAGGCAATTCTACACGAGCAATTGCAGGGGAAGCTGGAAGATCATCAGGTGGTGATACCACCTCATCGAGATTTGAATGTGATACGGCCAGAAAACCCAACCATAGGGGAGATGGAAGATCTAGAACCAAGGTTAGTAGTTTATGGCAATACTATAACAAAAAATTAAAAAAAATAAAAATATACTAAAATCAAATTATTAAAAAAAAAACTAAAATCCCGTCTGCATGACAAACTACCAACTGAAAATGCTGAAACAAGATTGAAAAATTAAGCAACATCATACATAACATGCAGTCAGAGGCATCAAAGAGATAATTATTTGACTTATTTTTTTACGCAGGTAGGTTTTTTGTTTTTTTTTAATTATAATTTTATTTATGTCTTTTTAGTTAGACAAATTACCCGGTTAGTTCAGAAAGTGAAAGAACAGAATCCATTTTTTAAACTTTATCATTGCATTATTTTTATTAGTATTACGGTAATGATAATCATGATATAATTTATTGGAATCATTGTATGAAACAAAAATATTCGTTAAATATAATGGCGTCGCACACCCGCCATATTTCATTTTTTAACGTTACCTATCTAAGGACTCATGGACCACTAAGACAAATCACACGATACATCAATTAACTAAATCTATGAATCCAACGTAGTTCTGAAGATATCAGGTAATAGAGAATATTACACATTTACATACTTACAAGATACGCGGGGAAAACATTCCTTTGCAATCGGGTAAAAACACGACTGTCAAAAATCGAACTAAAAATAAAAGAAACAAGTTGTATTATGGCTTTGCTAAACAAAATTGTGATTGCAGTCTTAGGATTTCTTAGATAACAAATGTTGGTCTCATAAAATTTGTAACCTAAGAAGTCCCTCGAATGCAATAAGGAATTTTGTTTAGCCATGCCATAATAACGTTTCTTTTATTTTTAATTAGATTTTTGGCAGCCGTGTTTTTTATCGTTATTTTATCAAATTATATATTTTTAATTTGATAACCATATTACTTACTTCTATTGATAAAAAATTGTGGTGTCATATTTTTGTTAATGGCGTCATAGATCCAGCATATTGAATAATTTTTCTAAATACAGTAAAAGCTCTTTATTCGCGCTTCCTTCATTCGCGTTTTCACTATTCACTATTAAACTGATTTTTTATGTGTTTGCTTTTTTTATTTTGTCGCCTAGGAACGTATCCCCTATGATTCTATACTAAATGCCATCCCGTATTCGCGTTTTCTGTATTCGCGGCCTATTTAAGGAACGTAACCCCCGCGAATAAGGAGCTTTTACTGTATATAGCCAGTGCCACTTGGGATGATGTAGCGTTTCTGATGATGCCCTATACATTAATAACCATTAACGGTCTTTTCACAAACGCTCCTTAAAGTTTAATGCCACCTAATGAGAAGAGTTCTATGAATGTAAAAAAAAAATATGGGTAATGTCGTTTTAAACTAATGACAATCTTTCAGTAGTAATGGTGAAATAAAGAAACTCACATACATTCATACATTAATCCTAAACACAATACTCTCCTTTTTCGGTCAGTCGTTTAAAAAGATACGAATAGTAAGTTTGTGTGAGTACGTAGGTTATACCTATATTGATAATTTCTTTTGTTATACGATCTAGAGTAAACATATTTTCTTTGCAATCTATACTAATATTATAAAGCGGAAGAGTTTGTTTGTTTGTTTGAACGCGCTAATCTCAGGAACTACTGGTTCGAATTGAAAATTTCTTTTTGTGCTGAATAGACCATTTATCGAGGAAGGCTTTAGGCTATATAACATCACGCTGAAACTATTAGGAGCGAAGAAATAATGGAAAACGCGGACGAAGTCGCTGGCGGCCACTAGTTATAATATAACAGTTTAAAAGAATTGTAATGTCAATTGTAATATTAGTTATACACTGATAAATACTGCTTTGGAAAATATCAAAGCCAAGTTATTTTATTAACGTGTCTTAACATGTTTCTGTGTTTTTCGTGGGGAATAGGTACTTGATTTTTTTTAGCGTGGCTTGACCAGCTATTTAAGTACTATTGAAGATGTATTTTCGACAATCACAAGGACTTGTAATAGCTTAGTCTGAATAACTGAATTTTTCTACTGATAATTAATTTATAAAAAATGTTACTGATTTTAACCCATGGTGTATTCATTAACATATAAAAGATCTAGTCATGTGCCACGCAACCTGATTGCGTCCTATGACTTTAAATAACTAAGTGAACCATCATATGGTACATTTGTTATCCACATAGAGAAAATCCAGTCTTATGCCGTAACGTGATTGGATCCTTGACTACTTGACTACTACATTAAACAATTACCGGGAGAGGTTTCATGTGTCACCATGTCTGATATCTAGGTTTTGATTCCCGGCTGATACAAATACTAAATGCTCTATTCTATTTATTCTCGAGTCTGGGCGGTTGTGATACCTTCTATGTTTTTAGTTTAAACCGTACATAGCTTTAGTACTTACATATTAGTAAATAAAATTTGATTATTATAATATCTATGACTTTAACTATTTAACTTGGAATCTAAGCAATGTATATTATGTTTATGTATCTGACTGACAATGGCAGACCAAATAGATATTATCTTCTATATAATCGAATGCACATAACAAAAACATTTTTATAACTTTGTAATTAATATGGCAAGTGTTTGGATTATAACGCAGACAAAATGTACTGGTCTTTGTCACATGTATTTAAAAAGAATCTACTCGTATTAATGTTTCTTTCTTTAATCCTGCCGCTCTGTACACATTAATAAAAAAAAATAGAATTACTTAAATAATTCACATAACTTGATTTATAAAATAACAAATTAAAGGAAGTAAATTATAATTCAAAATAAAATAATGGCATATGGTTTTCACGCGACTTCATTACTACAGCAGCGAATCTTAACACAAAAGCATATTGTCAAGACAGTTTAAGTACAATGTAATAAGACTTCCAACCCGTTAAATCGTTAAATGTTATAAATTAAAATTATTGCACGAAAACCGACGCAGGCAGGACATTACGATGAAAATTGTCTAAAGTTGCCGACAGCTGACATCCAAGAGTACAATTTATGTAGAGAATCGCGAGTCTCCAAATGAAATTGTTACTTACTTCGTTATTGCTGTAATTAAACTTTAATAGCACGAAAACTGAAAAGAGGTTGTTCTTCGTTCCCTTTTAAATAATTTTCTCCTTTTGTTGACAAAACTCGTGTTAGCGTTCTTATAAAATTCTTTGCATTAGAGGTCCTCGTCTAGCTTTCTCGAACTACGAACACTGAACTATGCATCAAAACCAAACATTTAGGTCGCGGCTACTCTCTAGCGGTTGACTTAATTTCGACAGAGCAAATATTAAACCAAGCGTCATAGGAAAATTGAAAAGAATAAAAAGAAAATCACACATCGTTTCCACTTTAATAGTCGTAAGGTTGTATGGCGCTTCATAGTCCTGCATTAGAGATAGGGCCATCATATCATATTTCCACGACAAGCTGATTCTATATTATTATGCAACATAAAAGTCGACCTTTCTTTATCTCGTAAGGCAAATTTTTGTAGGTCGACGAAGAATCTTATTTAAAATCCTGTAACCTACGAGATAAGCGCGGGTCTTTGACAATAAAACTAAATGGAATGAATGCGTGATGGTTTCCTCGTAACGCTGCTCAAGATATGATGAGGCCCTTGTAGCTGATTTCATGTGTCGCACAGAGAGGGATTTCTTTGATATACGAGACCATCTCATATGATATTCCAACTAAAACAAAGCAAATTTTATCATAATTCTGTTCTTTCTAAAGATGACATGTCATTGGATTTCTTGTTTACGTTACATTGTAATCTTGTTCAATCAGACCCGGTACGAGATTCCAATTCATTTCAAAAAGTAGGGATTCCAAAAGTAGCGATTCCAATTTATTTAAATGAATTCTACCAAGGTATCATTTAACTCCAAAATGTCAAATTAACTGGAACAGAGTATTTTGCGAATTGTTTGTGCAAAAGCACAATGCACATTAAAAGAGAGTCTATAAATTTTAGAGTAGCTGGCGGCTTGATTTCTAAATGCAGGTTATCGGGGCATGCCACAAATCGAGAACGCTACATCGGCTCCTTAGTATTCTGTTCCACCCCGTGCGGCGTCGCCGGAGCCTCGCACCTGCAAGTAGTAGGCAAATCACGTCCACTTATGTGTTCCACGCAGCCAAAACCAACACGCCATCGGAAAATCTTCCATGTAAATCTCGTTAACGACCAGGCTTAGGAGCGTGTGCGAAAATTTTAAAACTTATAATATTAGTGCGTCTGTTATGGATTCATCATTTTGATTCACACCACGTTCTGTTGACCCAAATGACATTGAGTCGTCCACAGAATTATTAGTGAACTGTACAACAATAATGTAATCGATTACTACGCTTTAGTTAGTTACTCATTGTATATGTTTAGAATTTTATTTGTCATTCTTAAGTGCCCTTGACAAGTTTGTTATATCAAAATTTTGAATTGGAAAATAATATCAAATAATTTTTTTAAAACCTCACTTATTAAGAAAACATTTTATTCTTATTCAGCTATATATATTATTATTTTGTCATTATATTACCGGTACTCATACTATTGCATTGATTTCAAACTAAGTAAAGCTTCTTATTTATATTTGATGAAATATTTGATATTTGAAAATGTTATGAAGTCCTAGTTACCCATTTTTCTATACAATTAAATTCTAGTAGTCATAGAAAGCGAGGTAGAATTGTTATCAGAACTAGGCAGATCAGAATAGATCAATGTAGGAATTCGAACCCAGGATCTCAGATATATTGGCACCTTAGGATCCGGCTCATGGGTTTTTTTAGCGAGTATGCCTCTGCTATTTGACTACCGGTCTAGTGGGGGTGATTCACCAGAGGTCATAACCTCACCTCACCGACCCGAGTTAAGGAAGCGGTAAATATAGTAATGCATTGCATATCGCTTAAAAGGTGTGTGAGCCAGTAGAACACGTAAGCCGACAAAAGAGATTTACGTTTTTAAAAACAGCCTGTTTTTTCAGCGTGAATGCTTCCAACTTGGAGAAGTTCCAACTAAGGATAGCGCAGCACGAGCTGTACGAGGAAGAAGAAGTATTGGTAAACGCAATCCTCAAGGATATGGCCTCTTTACCTATTATACATGCTGGTAAGATACTCTACTATTTGAACTTAAATATACGACAAATTAGGGATGATGTCTGAGTAAAAAATAAATTTAGAAAAAATAGTTAGCCTGTCAGTCATAATAGGATATATTAGATACCTACGTATTTTTTTTTACTTTAATTTAATAAGAAATAGCTCATATAACAGGCATTAAACTTGAGGAGTGCTCGTTACGTAAGAATTTTGTACAATATACAAAACGTGACGTCATGTGACATTTTAATTCGACTTAAAACATGTTTTATATTTTTTTATAATTTAGCTGACTGACAAACCAAAAGCAAAATATATGCCATTATTTTTTACATATTTTTATATTAAATGTTTAATATAAATTATTAAATATTTACCATTTCTTACAATACCCAGACCCGAGACAATTTAGAATAGTTTATTTTCTATATATTATCCGACACCTCAGAGATGGCAATAGCTGAAACCGGCGTGCAAGCTATCTCTACCTAGCTCTCGGCTTGGCAACATTTTACATTAAAATGTTTTGTGTGGGATACAATTCTAAATAATTTTATTTTTGTAATCACGTTTGTTAATAGCGATTATACTTTTATAATAGCTACTTCGGCTGATAAGCAAATGAAAAATAAATTAAGAGACAGAAAAGAAAACATATCAATTCTATTTTATGATCTGAGCGAATAAACAAATAGATTTTTTTACCCAGGCATCATCCGCCATAATGCGTTTTTAAAAAAGAATTCTTATTTAAAAATGCAATTTAGAATTCTTAATAAGTTGATGATAAGTAGAGTTCAAAAAGAATGAACGAACGTCTCAATCCACCTGTCCGTACAACCACGAGGTAATATGTATATTAGATGAAGTCGAGCCCGCAATCAGTCGGGCGCGGTCCGTCGGACAATAGTGCCACAACAATCACGCCCTTTACTTTAGATTGGATTTAAATATTTAAACCACTTAAATGGATTTCATTGTTGAACCCTACTCCAATGCATGCCGGTTATTTTCGGACACAGATTATCCGAATATTTTCAAGTTTAATTAAGTCTAGCTTTTTTGACGTGTAAATTTTCTATCAACCGCCTATGATGTATCAATCGGCTTCGTAGCTTACTGTAGGTGAAAGAAATTTCCGACACGCAATAAATAAACAAAGTTAGAAACTTTACTTCTTTATAATATGTTTGCATCTTTATAATATGATTGTCTAAACCTATAACTGACCAAGTTAATTCTAATTTTTATTCCTCAAACATAATTGTCTGAGTTAGTTTATAGTAGAGGAGGAAAATATGAAAAAAAAAATATGTTTGGAAAATTCGAAAAAATGTTATTGTTTAGCGTGTCACCTCATTCTATTAAAGAAATTGTTTTTGTCTGTTGAAACAAGATAGGATAACATCTCTCGGGTGTCAGCTGGTTTACACCTTATTATAAGAAATGATAATATTATTTTATTTATTATTAAATAGAAAATTTCTTTTGAAAGAACATATATGATCTGATCGCTTATTTTTATTACTAAACGTATAACAGCAAAAAGATATACCTCTATATAAGTAAATGCACATTTAATAACATATCTAAATTGCAAATAATGTTCTTTTCAAATCATTAGCGATTAAGTCTAAGGTTCGCAAGGAAAAACTTTCTTCGAGAAATTTTCTATCCAAAAGTAAAAATCACATCGAAATCCGCTGCGTGGTTTAGAAGTTAAAAACGGAATAGGCACAGTTAATGCCAGAAGCAGATAGATCATTCTTTTAACAAAATTAAAATACTAATAATTATACTGTCGAATTATTTTAACGTTCTTCCGTACATACATATGTAAGTTCAGTCAACAGCACGTCAAACTATACAAAACTGTCAACTTTCTCTACTTGATTTCAATGCTTTAAGGATAGAGTTCAAAATAAATTGAGGAAATTTCACATATTGTGGTAGCCTGATGTGAAGCCGTGTGCACAAAGAAATAGAATTATACTCCTGTAATAACATATATAACATATGGAAATATGGGCTGAACTCAGAAGTTGGGACGATGCATTAATTTATTTTAAACCAATATTACTTGGTAAACACTTTATTTCTGTCATCTTTTGCCAACAATAAAAAGAAAACAATACTTTCATAGTTTTTTACAAGATGTCGTTTTAAATACGATACAATTTAGGTTTGTAAATTATTAAATTGAGTTTGTTTAATCATAATTACCTTTTAGAAATACACAAACAGATAGTTGAACGACATTAGAAATTACTTTTTATAATTAGTACCCTTTTGTAACATTGTATTTTTAAATCAATATCATGTTTATTAATAAGCAGTGATTAATATTAATCTCTATTTGTAACAATATTAATAAAATACAATAAGTAATAATAATCTGTACTGTTTACGAATACAAATACATGAATATGTGCGATCATGGAAATTACGTGTTTTAATACCTTGTAATATTTCGTACAATAGGGATGATGACTAATTTTTGTTTGTTTGTCCACAGGTAGAGTGTTAAAAAATATTAAACACGTATTTTTTTCGTAATCATAAAATTAAGGCGTTACATTGGGTTGAAATTTTGCATGACGTCACGTTAGAGTACGTTTTCTACTCAACTGTGACGTAGCGAGTCCCCACTCCTCAACTTTAATGCCTGTTATCTAAGCTATTTCTTGTTAAATTGAAGTAAAAAAAATACTTATCTAATATTTTTCTATTATCTGACTGACGGACTAAATAGAATTGCATTTATTTTACCCAGTCATCATCCCTATTACATTCTCAAGTCAATACTACGCTTAGTAATTACAGTCATCGTCATTTTACAAATATTTCTTTATAAATCAAAGTAAAAAGTATAACTACAATAATAATAGGCTTACAAAAAGTTTACTTCTTTTATCTTAGTTATTTATAGGATTTAAAACTTAGATTTCGATTTAAAACCTAGTTTTTACAACATAATTCCTACCCAACGAGTTTAATATATAACCTAAGCAGTGGTACCCAAAGTTGATTGGGCTTCAACCGATCTAACAAAACTTTCCAATCTTGAGCCCACCTGTTAACTATCTTAGAGAAAAAGAAGGCATAAATATGGATAATGATAATTATTATAAAATAATAGAAGTCTTATACAGTGGCCAGTCATCGATTAGGACCAACTTATTATTCGTTCGCGACCCAGAGTTTGGTCAGCTTTGGTAAATACCGATCTAACTGTTTTTTTATATCTTTGACAGAGCAAAAAGAAGGCGGTACGCAGCTCAAGCTCATAATTGACTATCCAAATGGAATCCAAGCTCTTTTCAAGCCGATGAGGTAAGTCTTGTAACTTTAACAATGCTAAATAGACATTTAACGTTGTGCCGTACCACCGTTTATTTCGTCCTGGGTTTCCGCATGTACTTTCTGTCTTTGATCTTCAATATCTATTAAATTTGGGTTGAATTCATTTACCAAGTACCATTTCTTGGTAAATGAATTCAATAAAAACTAATGTAACCTTATATTTGTATATAATGTGTAAATCACTTCGTCTCCTCTATTTCACAAATTCTAAATTAGATTAATTCTGTGGTAACCGTGGAATTATACTTGTAATAGAGTACCTTTTTTTAGATACTAACATACGAAGAAGCAAAAGAAATTTTATTGACCTTTAACAAAAAAAAAATGACTCATCATCATCAGCAGCCCTATTACGTCCCCACTGCCTGCAGCGCCTGCGCTCAGGCCTTCCTTATAGCCATAACCCTCCACGCTGCATGGCACAATTCAGATTGAAGAATATTAATATTAATGAGCCGGACCTTAAGGTGCTTAACGTGCTTAGCACGGAGTAGCTCGAGATAATAATTTTTTGGTCACCCATTCCGTGACTGACCCTTGCGAAAGCTGCTTAACAACATCGTTCGCGGGCCGCGGCGTTTATTCACTAAGCCAATGAGGCATAATTGTAAAAAAAGTTGCAGTCGATCGGGTGCCGGTGTGTTTTATTAACGCTTATATTCAGCAGTCTGTTAGGTACGCAACATTTTGATGTGTAAATGTATAATTCGTTAAAAATGTGGTCGGGATTATTTGGCATAACCTAATATATAACTTCAATAATTCAAACTTCAATACTATCCTATATCTTTGCCTCAGATAACCAGTTTCGTTGATCACAGTCGCTTTTTACAAACGTCTTTCAATTCTTTGATATTCATAACACTTTTATACATGCATATATATTTTCGATAATATAATCTTTCTATGGTATAAATACCTCTATTATGTATGAATCGATAAATATAAAATATGATAGACAGCTACCACTTTACGACTAGAGAACAATCAATCAGTCACACCTCCTACTCCATATTTACCCGAACAAAGTTGACCAGGAGGACTTTAGTTGGGTAGTCTTGAAGGAGTTTGGAAACTTGTATGTCAGCACCCGTTGTTGTTCGTATATAGAGAAGTTAGAGTTCTTTCTATCGGCTTAGCTTGCCCGCACTCAGTACGAGTGCTGTTCTAGTTGTGTTACTTGAGTTCATTGTTAAAGTTCTTACTAAACCGTGGAAGTAAGCCGCCTTCTTCAATAAGTCGATTTAACAATACTTCATTTTTATATTTCTATTTTAGTTATATTTCATGCCGTAAATATAAGGTTTTATGGTATTACAGTAATTACTTTCTTAAGAAATAAGTTCGAAGTGTTTTTATAAGCTTTTTTAAGCACATTTAAAGGACTGCTTGATGTTATCTTTTATATCTTTTTTCGACAAATACTTTTGGGTTGTCCACCACGATGAATTTAGAAGTTTTAATAATATACCGTATTTTTTTCAGAGAAACCTCTCATTTGATACCCATTTCATGAGTGTTTAAAGAGAGTCATCCGCCATTTTGGCGCCATCCGCCTTCATATTTGATTTAGAAGAAGTCATTTTATTATTTTGATTCTTTAAAATAAATTCATTTTGCTAACCATGAATAAATAAAATATTCTTTAAACCAATAAAACATGATAATATAACAGACAGTACAATTAGTTGTCTTTTGCTAAAAAGCATTAAAATGCATTGTATTGTCTAGCATATATGCAATTTAAAATGTCAGCTTATAACACTCAATACTTACATTATATTTAAGATTGTTTAGTAAAGTTGTTAGTTTTTTGCTGCTTTTTCCTCTTTTAAACTTATAATTTTAAGATAATATTTTAAGTAATTCTTAGAATGTAGTAAGGATATGTCCGTATATCAGCAGCTCTTTAAATTAAGTAAAAATGATAGCTGTAAGTTTAAAGCTGTTTCTTCAAATCCCATACGGATCGACTCGTTCTATGAAAGTATATTAATTTCTCAAATATAGATCAAATTCAGTTGTAAGTTTTTCTTGGAATTCTCCAAGTAAATGCAATATTTAGGGGGAAAAGATCGTGATATCCGATACCGGCGCCTACAGGGACCACGACACTCCCGCGAGTAGATTTCTAGCGTTACTCTTTGACAATGAAAATTGTATTCCTATACCCTTTCAGAATATTTCAAGTCGAATTCGATATAATTTATTGCCAACGATAGGGAATAGGGCGTGACAAGAATTTTCCAAGGTGCCTCGAACTTTTCCAAGGTTCGAAGGTTTTGTGTATAAAAATCTTAATACAGAATCTTCTTAAAAGAGAACAAATAAAATATTGAAACTTCTGAATATAAAAAAAAGTCAGTTGTTTGTCGAGATCATGGTTTTAGTTGTTATATTATTTTTTGCATGTTCCAATTGGCAAAACCGTGGGTAAAATTTAGTTTGCGTGACCAATTATGTTAATTTACACGTATTGAGATCTTTGATATAATCTTTATAATTAATGGAGTTAATTAATAAAAGTAATTATAATTAATCGTTCATTACAACATTAAATTGATGATTTGCTGCAAAATTAAAGATTATTTTCACTAACGCAACAATTTATTAAAATATCTTCGAATCAGTATTTAGGTACGTATTTACGCCAGATCGCTTGCGGGATTGGGTTGAAGCGTTATATTGACCTTTGATGGGGATGAATATAAAACAAAATAACTAAACTATATTTAATAATAAAAAACGTCACAGAAATCAAATCTTATTTTATAGAAATCAAATCCAGTTTTTTTTTTACAATATCTATTGCGTATGTAATCATCATCATCAACAACAACAAAGCAATAAAAATAACTCTTCTCTTTTTAATATTAATATAAATAAACCAATGCCCTGGCAAATGTAAATGGAGCCTTGAATTATGCTTCGAATCGAGTTAGCCGTAGACAAAACTACGTAAGGAAATATCGCCACCCATAACCCTAACTCGCCGGCGATAAAACTAACGCATGCTCACAGGGGAAGGGTTACTATCGCCTGTCGACTAATTTATCGCTCCCCAGTGAATGGCGAATCCTGGAGCTCTCGATATGTCGTCGGGATAACCCCCTGAGTCTATAATTTTTGTGGGCACTTCAAGGAGAGTCCAGTTATTAAAAAAATCTTGTAATTTCGTAAGATCATGATTTTTATCTAAGCTGGCTTAGCATTTTCACTGTTCGATAGGTCATACTTGCGATGATTAGACGTCACAGATTTCTGTAACGTATGCTACACCGCTCGAATTTGGAAAGCCATTGTTACTAGACAAAATTTTAGAATACTAAAAAAATACTTAGAAGGGTATGCTTCTGTTGTATTGGGTAAAAATTGAACTATCTCACTGATGTGCTTGAATCTCGAAAGACTTACAATGCATTCACTTTAAAATCTACAGTACACAACTGAAATCATCTGTAATGTTTTTCAATTAATAACATCATTTCATTTTTCATGAATTATTTTTTAATTAATAATAACATTAAGAATTTCAATTAATTTTATACTAGCTTTTGCCCGCGACTTCGTCCACAATATATATGTAATTTACTGACTAATATCCAATATGGTTCAGTACTTTATCTCTGAAAACTTTAAAGCTATTTATCCAATATGAAATTCAGATGAAAAAAAAACAAATCTAAAGTTTACACAAAACGTAATCGAAAACTGAAATCTACGCAAAATCCTTTGAACACGACGATAACGCAGTTTAGTTAAGAATAAACGTCATTAAGTATAGCAAAGGTAAAAGTTTTTACTATAAAGTTATATTTTAAACCCAACCTTGACCGAAACGAAACTGAAAAAAATAATTTAAAATGTTATTATTTTAAAAAATAAAATATTTTTTTTACCCCAATACCAATTTTCATAACGACATAAGGAAATATTTATAAATAATATTAGGTAGATTTATTACAATGACATATCAAATAGTAAATATAATAGTAAACAAAATATAACCTTTTACCTTCCCTGGGTCTTAAACTACTCAAACACCAATTTTCATCGATTTATTTCCGAAAAAAGAACTTTCATACAAACTTTTTCACCTTTTTAACCCCCTCCGCGCAGAAATTTACATAAATCTGTTCTTTGTAGACTTAAACGTGATATGAGGAATGTCTTCTCCAAATTTCAAGTCTCTACGACCAGCTGTTAAGGCTATACGTTGTCTGTCAGTCAGTATGTCGGGCCATCTCTATTGTGTACAGACGCTTTTAGTTTGTCTGACTCTAATAATATAAATAGTAAATCTCGTATTTATATATAATGCACCAATGTGTACCGTTTTCAATACAGAATGTTGCCTACACAATAAAAATTTGAAATAAAAGTACTGCTTACACGATATTATTTGAAAAACATAAATTTTATAGCGGCCAGTAAATATTCTGTTCCAAGAGAAAGTGCAGCACATCTTGATATCCAATAAAACACAGGTCGAGTTGGCTTTGAACTGGGAACATTAGGCGGACATAAGCTTTTTAAAATTTAGTAACCCGCTGGCGATCTCGTGGAGGCACATAAATCTGATAGCCGTCTCGTTATATTACCCAGTGTGCTATCTGACCGAATCACAATTTAATACTAACTTTTAAAGTTTTTAGTCAAGTTTTATTTTTATAACAGTGATTAAGCGACGTTTTCCACTGCAATTAAAAGAGCTATATCAATTGATCGCAAAGTCGGGTAACCACATTTTATGCTACAATTGATTTTATGTTATCATCAATTTTGCATTCACAATGCCATTCTGAAAAATATTTTTAGTGAAAAAATGCTTAAAAAAAATCACCAGCCCCAGGTACTCTGAGATGGAACTCGAACTCTCTCTTTCGCAATACGGACGACTACTCTAACACTGAGATACCCAGGACCTATTAGGACTGACGAATTTCTCAAGCACTTGTTACTTTTCGTTACTGGTGTATTTTCATCAATGTACAGGAAAGCTACCCAAATATTCTTTTAATATTTTAAACATGACGTCCAATATTTCGCAGCAATATTGTGACGGGAATTCGGAATAATTAATTTTAAAAGTGGCTACTAAATATTAGACATAAACTTAATATTTATATTTTCAAGGAATTACGTAAGAAGAGTTTAAAAAAATTAGCTTCTTTGTGATTCATTACCTACATTGTTCAAATATTTTATAATTGTTTCTGATTACGTCACTTCATTGACATGCTATTAAAGAGTCATATAAAAATTTACAAAACAACATATTCATAATTATGGTACATTTATGACACAAATAAGTTCAAGAACTAAAACCCGACTACAGCAAAATCAAGCTCAAAAAGTTTAAAACAAAAAAGTTAGTTTATAGCAATTGCTATATTATTATAGCATTATTATAACAAAACAAATTGTTGTGGCATACGACTATGCCCTGTCCTTTTGTCAATTTTTGAATTATTATTTTTATTTAATTAATTTTATATTTAAGCAAAATCGTAAGCAAAAGCTATAAATACATAGATGTAGATATATATTTGAAAGTTGTTTATTAAGCCTTTTTTATTCTAGAGGGCGCTGTTATCAATTTAATGTAACGTCACATAGCCTATAGCACTCGGACAACTAAGACTCTTTTAATGATACCTAATTTGTCCTGTTACGATGAGTAGTCTCGAAGTTAAAAGTTAGAAGATGAATATTCTTACATATATAAAAGCATAAACATAACATACCGGCCAAAATCATAACCCTCCTTTTCGCTTCGCCGCCGTAGTCGGATAAAAACCATTTTACACATGCGACTAACTAATGACAATTAATGCATATATATATTGTGATTACGTATAAATCAGATAGTAATTTCAGACAATGATTTATTTATTTATTACCTTAATACGATGCGTTAGAATTAATGTTTTATAAAACAAACATTTTTAACCTAATTTTAGCACAACAGAAGATATCCTCGTTGAACGATATTTGATATTACTCTAATGGATTTGTATAACTCACTTTCAATTTTCGTCATGTTTGGGGTACGGTGTCGTGTTCTCTTAATTTGTTAATTTCAGTAAGCTGAACTTCTGAGCAACGCTTCGATTATATAAAAATGTTTATTTTTATAAAATTAGGTTAAATAAACTCAGTAATTAAAACATGGGTTATTATGTACTTTGACTAGTCGTAGAAATAGTAAGTTGGATGATTCAATTAATAAAGATTACTTTTGATTTTGACTTGATAGTTGTTTAGGTTGTATTTAAAACATAAGTTAATAAATTTAAAACTAAAGTTATAAAAATATTCAAATCCAAAGAGAATAGATACAGGGGGTGTCTTTTTTAATTCAATGTTGATATATAATCTTGATCTACGGTCTTTTACAGTCACTTTTAACATATATTTGAATTCTGTTACAGTTACAATTATTGCCGAATATCTCAAGTAAAATCACATTTTAATTAAAACGAGTTAATAAATATTAAAATAATATTAATTTTTGCGAAGTTTTGTAAAGTTTTCGGACATAAAATAAGAACGTTTATTTTGAGAAACTTAAATACCTATGCATTATGTGCAATTTTAGAGTAAAAAGTTTAAAAAGAAAAGCGAAAACGGACCGTTCACCCTTATCTCAAAAAAACTTAGTCTATTTTTTGGAAAAAATAGAGTAAATACTCCTGTTTGATAAAAAAATCATAAGGTGAACGAGGTCAATTCACATTTCAAATTTAAAAAAGCTTAATATACCACAATTCTGTAGCATAACTCTATGAAATCAATTTTTTCATTTAGGGTTTTTTTATTGAAACTATTATAATATGCCAGCTGATGGTTCTGAATGATAATGACATAAATGAGGACCCTCCTGGAGTTCGACTGGAGTCTGCCAGGAACGTGCTTTATCGCTGAGCATCCGTCTTCCCAAGAGCTTTTATCTAAAACCAAGCCTATATTTGCCTGAGTATGGATATCCCTACCTAATTTAAACTTTTAAGTATAATATCTATGCATATTATTTGAATAATTAAAAGTTCTTTAGACACCAAACTTATATCTAAATAAAATTAAGTACATTAAAACGCGTTTATATTTGCTCATTTTAAAACGTTTCGGATCCTTTACAGTTTATGTGTTTTTATTATACATTACATCTCATAGTTTGTAATTTGATATAAACCTACATATAAGTGAAAGTTGGCATCATAATTTATTTATTTATATAGGTATGTAGCTGTGAGAAAAGTACTTAGTCGGTGTGTGATAATTTGCAAACGTTTTTATATAATATACCCTTTTTACCCTTTTAACTAATAACTAGGAACTACCTAACGACTGGAGTAATATCTTAAGTTATGACATGTGTTATGCGGTAACTTGCCCTAGGCATTGGCGTAATATGACAGATCACTTAACGAATGACGAAGATGAAGATTAACTAATCTGATACGGCAATTCGTAAGATTAGGCGTTTCCTAGTTAACCTATGCCTTGTTCTAGGTTTGTGAAAACGGAGGTTACTTATTCAAAATAGTTCATTTTCAATAACTGTCATATGGTGCGATAGACGTAATGATGTACGTGTGTGTAGCATTTAGATAGTTGTTTGTGTGGCAACAAAAAAAAAAGGAACATTGTGAAAATATTTATAAAATAAGTAAGGACAAATGAAAAAAACGGACCCTATGAAAAGTATCGAATAGTTTTAAAATGCTTCACCATTATTGTCATTTTTAGAGATTTTAGAGCAGATACCGTTGATAGTCAATAGCAATACTCTACGAAAGAAAGAGAAGCAGGTCCAGGCATAATGAATATAGTTTTAAGCATATATTTAGTGAGGCGTTATCTGGACACTCTGTATAAAATAAAACAGGGAGAAAAATGCAGTATATATCTGGACACTCTGTATGAAATAAAACAGGGAGAGAAAAGCAGCCCTTGCCGAGTTTCTTGCCGGTTCTTCTCGGTACAAGGTCTCCCGCCGTAGATTTGCGAACCGAAGGCGAAGCTCTCGACTTTCACAAGTGCTTGTAACAGCCTAGACAGAATAAATAATTTTGGTTTGATTTGATATTGCTTCAAAATTTTGTTATCATGCCCGCCTTAAATAAATCTTTAACTGAGTGATACATCCGTCAATATTAGTCTCCAAAAATATCTTAAATGATTTTTTTAAATTTATATAAAATTTGATATCGCAGCAGACTCTGACTTGGCGTTAATTTTTATTCCGAACCTTAAGTCGTAACAATATTATTATTTTGAATTAAAATTATTGCGTTACGTATTAATATCAAATATTTCATAATAGTCCTTACCAAGAATGTTTTAAGTTTGACTTAATTAAGTTGACTTTGCAAAAAAACTATCTCCTATTTTATAATTTCGAACTTCAATTTTATTAATATATCTTTTCTTCAAAGATATTTATTTTTAATTGAATATTAATATACTAATGACTGAATTTTTTCCTTTAGATAAATAAATACAAAAGTGTTATTGTAATAAATTTAATTGTTCACAGGTTCGCGAGAGACGTACAAACTTTGCCAAACCATTTCTACTTTTCCGACTATGAAAGGCATAACGCTGAAATAGCTGCATTTCACCTCGACAGGTAGGCTTTATATGTATTTTTTATATAATAGTAAGATAAGATATAATTATTAATACGAGATCCATTTACTGAATTCAATAGTTACGAGTTTTCAATTCCATTACTGTATCGTTACTAGAATATTGTATTTCGGTACTACTGGTATAGTAAAAGGTATTTTACATACAAATATTACTTTATGATATCTATTGATAAATTTATTCATTTATAATTCATCATACTGTATTCTTTAATATAGCAATAAGTGATGTCATGAGTTAAGTGCTAAAAAAATAACGTTATCCAAAAAAGCTACATTTATCGGAGCTTAATGGTCAGTTATCAAAGGAATGATATCGACATCATATTCTACTAAAGATATTTAGATCAATAACAATGCGCTTCTCTACTACCTACGTTGTTTCAATATTGCGTCATCGTTAATTTCTGTAATACCTAAATTCCAGAAATAGATTAATAAAGAGTACATAATAGATCTACTGTTCAGGATATTAGGTTTCCGTCGCGCCATGCCGGTCGTGGGCAGAGTGCTCAACATGACTACAGAGATATATGACGTCACCGAAGGCGATATCCTCAAGACATTCTTCGTGTCGCCCGCAAACAACTTCTGCTTCCATGGCAAATGTTCTTACTACTGTGATACCGGTCACGCTATATGCGGTAACCCTGACATGTTGGAAGGAAGCTTCGCTGCGTTCCTGCCTTCTTCTGATTTAGCTGAGCGAAAGGTAAATACAATGTAGTTAGGTTTGGATTTGTTAGGATTTGTTAAATTTGTATTTTTTGGGATGAGTTGACCGAAGCGCTATAAGGGCCGATGACCCGGTTTTGGCCATTTCAAGATTATGACATTGTTTTGGGCATTTTGAGATTACGACCTATTTTTGCCATTTAATAAGTAACGACGCTATCAACGCTAATTCTGCCATATATCAACATTTAGAAGACAGTACATCGTGTAAGTTAATATAATTATTTGTTTATGCGTTAATTTGAAAACCTTAAAGTCTCGCATGACTTAAAAGTGGCCAGTGACCTAAACGGGGTCTTCTGCCCTAGTTTCACAAAATAAAAACAAAATCGAAGATCAAGCATTATGTGAGAACATATACAGGAATTTTATATGGTAATAATAACAACTGGTGATTTAAAAAATAATTACAATACTTCTTTTATATTTTAAATGAATAAAGTAGGATGTTAAATAGGAATACGATCTTTTTAAGACATTAAACTATATCTAGGGTATTATTATTTAATAAATAGCGTTTTGTTTTTTAATTAATGGCGGTTGAATAGGGATGACGACTGGATAAAAAAAATGCAATTCTATTTAGTCCATCAGTCAGATAATAGAAAAATATTAGATACGTATTTTTTTTACTTCAATTTAACAAGAAATAGCTTAGATAACAGGCATTACAGTTGAGGAGTGTGGGCTCGCTACGTCACATCGTAGTAAACGTACCATAACGTGACGTCATTCGAAATTTCAACTCCATGTAACGCCGTAATTTTATAATTACGAAAAAACAATCTTGTTTAATATTTTTTACACTCTACCTGACGGACAAACAAATAAACATTATTCATCATCCCTATTTGAGCACAATAAATCTTTTTTATAAATAAAATAAAATAAAAAAAAAATAAAATAAACAAAAAAGTGATAAAAAACATAAAAACTAAAATAAATATAAATACACTTATTTAAAAAAAATTACCAAAGCTGTCGCCTAGACACTAATCGGTAATATCGCTTGATTACATTATTTTCCCTTTACCTAATATTAGTTACTAATAATACCGGTTACTAGTATATAATGTAGTGATAAAGATTATTGTATTGTCAGATTAGGATAGATAGTTTAGCAGACTTTATCGGTTTTTGACATTATTACAGGTATGGAGACATCCTTGGAGAAGATCATATCATAAGAGAAGAAAAGCTCAATGGGAACTGCAATCTGATTACTGTGACACGGTAAGTTTCATACACGTTAAATTATAACAATGGCAGTATTACATTCGTTTTCACTAACAAAGAACAAGGCATAGATTAACTAAGAAATGCCTAATCCTAATAATCGCCTAGGTAGATTAGTTTAATTTCACATAAACATTTTTTCTTTTATCACTTGACATATTTATATTCTATCATATTACACAAATGCATAACGCATGTCATAACTTTAGGCATTGCTTAATATCGTTAGCTGGTTGTGAAATGCATTTTCACTCTAGGCGATTCCTGTATATTTAGACGATTGAATTGAACGATTCCTAAGTTTAGTGAAAACGGGCACGAGAGACATTAGAAGATATTAAACTTCTAATTTTGCTCAGATCTCAAAATAAGTAGCTAAGGCTAAGCAGATATTATATTACTTTATAATATAATATCTGAAAGAACAAAGATACCACAATCACCTTACCCGGACTTGAGATAATACTGAAATTTACTAAATTCACCCGACTGGACATTGAACCTCGAGATAGTAACACCTTGACACCGGTGTAATACCTACCCACTCCGCCACGGAGATCGATTTTAATGTTAATTTTCGATTTTTAAGTTTTTTAACGTGTTATGTAGTGAGATGTCTCCTTGAGTCATTCGTTTGTATTCGCCAGCATTCATGTCCACATTTGTTTATTAATGCATTGTGCGTCGGTGTGCTGTGATTCACCTGGTATATTGTGTAGGTGCGGACGACGCCACCATACGACTCCGGCCGGCGGCTTCTAGATCTAATGGACATGTCTATTTTCGATTTTCTCACCGGCAATATGGATCGGCATCACTATGAAACCTTCAAGTATGTATGGTTACTTTAGATTTTTATTAATTTATCCAGACTTTGAGGAGCTCGATTATCAGCTAAAAGACGACGGTTTAAGAGTACCATTTATAGATTTACTTGAATAAAGATAATTATGACTTTAACTCGATGGCGTGTTCGATCTGCGATTGCGGAAGATAAGGCTAGGCATAAAGATAAAATGGAACGAAATTTATGCGTTTATTAATGAGATAGATGTGTACATATGATGATGTATTTAAAAAATCTAAATCATACAAAACTAGATTATTGCAAAAGTTATTTATAAAGAGACACACAAATAAAATATAAAGAGTATAATTGCCTCAGGAAAGTAAAAATATGTTGAATTTCAGAAGTTACTTTTATTTTTTTATCCATATCTGTATAAATTCATATTTTGGATTTTTCAATGCCACGTTACTTATGCTTAAGAATCCGTTTGCCCCTAGTGAAATGGGATTCGAACTCACGACCTTTCGCAAGTCGACTGCTCTAACCACTAACTATTCAGGACCTAACAGAGCTGACGAATTTTTAAAGCACTTGTTTCTTTTTCGCTTCTACAGAGTGTATTTTTCATCAATGTTCAGGCAATCCACCCAAACAGCCATCTAAAACAAAACTCACATAACAAACAAAACAAAATCAAACAGAATCCCATCTCAGAGTACCAGGGACAAAGTGGATTTTTTAAGCATCTTTCATTAATCAAATATAATAATTATATGACTTTTTTTTTATATTCATCTACAATTTGTTTGAACATATTTAAATCAAGTAAATCTATAAATGGTACTCTTATACCGTCGTCTTTTAGCTGATAATCGAGCTCCTTAAAGTCTCTTTGCACAAAATCAACTGAAAAATTATTATATTGGTGCCCTTTTAACCAACTAATCAGATAGGTGATCAAAATTTATTATCTCTAGCTCCTACGTGATTCACAATGCAAATTTAATAATATTATTTCGTCTTTGTGAAAAATAGTTCATTTATTCTATTTTTTTTTAAATAGAATGTTTGGCAATGAGACGTTTACATTGCACTTGGATCAAGGACGAGCTTTCGGTAAGGCATTCCACGACGAACTGAGTATTCTCGCGCCGCTGCTGCAGTGCTGCCTTGTCAGGCACACTACGTTAGCGACCCTACTCAAGTGAGTATTTTAAATTTATACCGCACTTCTATCATATGAAGGTCTAAAGTGGAAATTCAAAGTACAAGTATTGGTGTTGATTCTATATCATCATAACTAATCTAAAAAACTGACTAAATTTTAACTTAAAATTCTGGTTTTCATTTAACTCAACATTTTAATACTTATAACAAAAACTAAAAAGAAGTATTAACCAGTATTCATGCATTTAATAATATACCTATTGCTGCTAAAAATCACATATTAACTAAGAGTGGATTCTAACTTAGGATTTAGTTATTACTTACTGTTTGATCAAATTTGGTCTAATATTGATTAGCTACCTCATCTAAGTTATCTAGCAATTATCAGAAAATGTATGGTCATTACACATTTTTGATAGCAATGATGTTTTTATCAGCTTTACTGATGTTTTAATTTATTTACAGATTCCACAACGGGATTCCCTTGTCGAAATACCTCCGGGAATCTATGAGAGTAGATCCCGTAGCACCAATACTCTGGGAACCGCATTTAGTCGCTTTAGACAGGCGAATAGTCACCGTCTTAGACGCCCTCAGGAAATGTGTGGACAAAACTAACAATCCAATGCAAGCTGAAGTGAACGACTTTGTATGACAGAAAGTGAACATTTATGGGACTTACAGAAAAAGAGTCGTTGTTTGAATTCCATGTCAGGTAGGGGCATTAAAAGGCTTATGAGACGACAGTGATGGAAATTATTAACAAGGTCAAAGTGTGATGAACACAGGGTTGTGTATGTGTTGATTCGGTGTATCGTTATATGACGTTAGTATGTAAGAGTAAACAATGCAAGATCTTTGGTTCTGCCTACGAGACTTCTAGACATATAAGTTTATAGTGCCAAAGATTGTCCAAATGAAATGTGAGAGCATAATTTTAAAACCATTCCACTATAAGTAGTTAATTTGCCATTATATGCCAAATGAGCGAAAGAATGAGTGATTTAAAAGTATATATTCTTTCGGAAAGAACTAATGGTGAATATTTATTTATCTAAGTAACCAGTATTGACGGCGTGACTCGATATGATATCTATTCATAGATATTTTAATTTCCTATATGGTGTATATTTCGAATTAAGTATTTTAATTTTAATCGGGAAATTTATGCTGTAAGGGAGAGTGCAACATACTGTACATAATATTAGAGAAATTAAATATTTAAGTTAAACGAATAAAAATAATAATAATTATACAATTACTGGTCAATCAATCAATGACTTATTGTTAAGTTTCCTTAAGTAATGAAATAAGTTAATAATATTTCATGGTCATTTTTATATAACCCTTAAGTATGTAACAAAGAGATCTTATTTATTTTAAAATGTTATTTTTTCATTTGTTGTTTTAATGTTGAATTGGTATAAAATTTTATTTGTGAATTTTCATTTTTTGTTGACTCTCATTATAAATTAACCGCTTTGTTATACATAAAATAACGTACTCTGTTACCGTAGCAAAAAGCTCAATATGACATATCATATAAATATAGTGTATAGAGCGGAACGTACATTATATACATACAGCCTTTTCCGTTTTAATTAGTTAGAAATATGAGGCTACCAGATTACCTATCCAATGCAAGAATGTACTGATTAATTTATTTCATAGATATAATTAATTATATTGAACTTTACTTTGGTTTTATTTTTTTTTATTGATCTCGAAAATTAAAAACAAGATTAATGTGTTTTAAAAGTTAGTTGTGAAATTTACTAATCGTCTGCGTACTAAATTATTTAATCGTGAAATATTTACATTATAAGAATAATGCATTTCTATAACAATGGCAATTTTAAAGAATATATTTGCGATCGAAATTTGCTACAAAATACATATTATATATTATGGAATAAGATAATGCTCTAAATAATTACTTAGTTACTTATTAGCTATTTTTGTGATGTTTGAAATTAATTCTTTTAATGTATAGTTAGGATAAGCGGTATAGTTAATAAACCTCTTACGAGTTAGCCATTCCAACTTTGATAATAAAAACTATCTCGGTCAATATCGTGCAAAATACATATTTTATATAAAACTATATTTCAAAAATCAACACCCTTAACTGCTAATTAACTATACCTCCTTACCTTACTTCTAATTACAGTTACACAAATGTCAGATTTCAAAATTTCATATACATATTAGCATAATTTTAGACAGAGATTTATAATGTGGAGCTATGAATGTTTTATAGGTAATATTTTACATATTTGTGATCAATTATTTCTTCGAATGAGGAGTAATGGAAGCCCATTAAATTATGCAAGTTTCTCTGTATTTCGGAGGGCACGTTAAACCATTCAGTCTATTCATAGGATTAAGTTAGTTTTGCGTCCACTCACTACTTTTCATGAAAGTGAAATTTAAATTATTATAAAGAATCAGTTGCTACTTTTATAATCAATAAATTTTGATTTTGATTACAATACTTAAATTTATACATAAGCATAACATTATAAACACCAATAAACTGATTTGGTTACTTAATTATTCTACTGATATGTCATCTGCAATGATATGTCATCTGCAATGTAATCTGCAATGCTGGCAGATCAATCAGGACTTTAGTTACGCGGTAGAGCCATTGGTGGTTAATAGCTCTTAGAGGTTCTATCCTCAATAGAAGGCTCGTGTATCATCAATGAGGATTAAACAGGCTGATAATAATAATTTTTACCGCTACCTATTTCTTGAATTAATAAAACAACCGCTAATTTAACTATTAATATCATAATGTAATCATAAGACTCTACAGTGTACCTCCAGCATGATTTGGTTTTAGTTATCATAGCTAGTTATAACTAATTTCCTATACTAAGTGATCTTAGTTATCAAAATGTTAAATGGTCAGTGATTTCTCGGATGTAAAGATATAAAGTTCCACCTAAAGTGGGTGTAAATGATCTTAGAAACGATTTGCCAAACTCGTACCTAAAGATTACTGTAATTAAGTAAAAAAATGTTGTAAAGTGTGATGTTTGAATGCAAGATTCTGTTGATAATTTACAAATTAAAACGACACAAGTTGATTCATTTTAGTTTCATTGCCCTAATACCTTAGTCTATATTAAATACTAGCTTCCCTCCAAGTGTACAGACAGCGGGAAGCTACTTCGTTTTATGTTATGTATAGATACATTATAAAGAGGGACGATTTTATTGTTTTGTTTGCATTGAATAAGCTCCGAAATTAAAAAATCAATTTTGAAAATTCTTTCACGAATGGGATGCTAAATCATATGCGAGTAACGTCGTCTATAATTAACGCTAGCGATATAGTGGGAGAAGTAATGAAATTGTTTTGAAAAATATTGAATCTTTGTATTAGGTATAAAGTCTAAGGATGATGACCATTTTCTTTCAAATCCGTCAGGTGGTTTATTGAAGAATACTACACGATTTTTTATATTTTTGGATTGATCAATTAATTATGACGAAACATTGATTTGAAATATCGCTCGGCGTTACAAATTTTGTACATTTTCTACATAGCTGTAACGTAGACAGCTCAACTCCTCAACTTTAAATGCCTATGTAAGCCATTTCTTTTTCGATTGAAGCATTTAAAATATCCAATATTTTTCTATTATTCATTTTTTTACCCAGGAATTATCTCGATCATAGAAATTACCTATAAGCTATAATCTACATGTGCGATGATATAATCTACACACGGGACGTTGTCTTGCTCTAATACAATCCCGTTTTGATTGATAAAACATATAACATCGACGTAGAACCATTAACGAAAACCATATAAAGATATACAAAACTAGTGATTCCACGATGTTTCATTAGCTAAGATAAGAGAATTTAGTATTCCAAAAAGAAGCAGCATCTCTAAGTAGGGCAGAAGACCCAGTTTTGGCTAGTTCCCTCTTTTTGGACATTTGGAACTTAATAGCATTCTCACTAACACATAGGAAAATATATTACTTTAACGGTATTTTAAATGTTGTATTATAGCAAAACCAACAGCGTTAACAGCTATCATGTGTTAAAGTTACCATCCTAGTTACTCCTAAAATAGCCACAACCGGTTCGCCTGGCTTAGTTATTATTTTTTATGAAATCTGCCAACGAAATAATAGTTATAATAATATAAATTTTTATCCTCTAACGTTTTGTAATATCTGTAATAAGTTTTATATATATAGGTCCAATAACAAATTCGGAAACAATGAAAGAACAATACGATTATAAAGACGTAAAAGCATGAATTTTGTGGGCGTCCGTCGGCGTTGACATCACCCATAAAGGTCACATAAACCCAACGAAACCCAGAGATATGTCCGGACCCCATAAAAACGGAACAGGAATATGAATACCACGTATATTTGCTATAACATTTTATAGGTTTACGACCTTCTTGTTATTAAATGCGCAAGTAAATACTATATGGCTGCATTTGTTAGTTTTGATTTTCCGTTTTTTTTTCGAACTTGCCGTTTTTTTTTATCCTGTCCAAATTAAAAAAAAAACAACTAGAATAAAGCCTTCTTTTAACATTTTTTTACACAATATGCAGCAGCAGCTTTCTTGCCACTCATCAAACAAGATTATTTAATGTTAATACACAAATAAATATAAAAATATACTTTCCATTTCCAAACATACATTTCGTATACGCAAATACTATTGATATTCAATCCATGTGGGAAGCAATCTGTAAAACTAAGTTTACTATACTAGATAGTGATTCGTACAACGCTATATATGATTCATAGGATGAATAACAAAGAGCACCATATCGGTATTCGAAATAAATATTGAAAAAGAAAGTTGCACTTTTGTGTTTCTTTAGCTCAATCCGAACTAAGAAGCACGACCGCGGGCTTTTGATACCTATTTTTACAAAAAGTCTATTATAATCAGAATAAACAATGCTGAAATGATGACTCATTGCCAATAATAAATTACAAAGATTTGTACACTTGTTAATAAAAAATATAAATAAATATTGACTTAATTTTCTCAGCACATTTCTATTAAGTATAACCACCAGCCCTTTTACTTCCCCACTGCAGGGGCTCAGGCCTTCCTTATGGATGGTTAAGGAGTCTATTCTATTAAGTATATAAGGAGGAGTCTATTAAGTATATAACACTTCTATTGAGTATAAGAAGTTTAAAGAAACCTTTTTGGTATTATAGTGTGAAAAAAATATGTTGTGAGCTTGAATTAAATTTTCAGGTTTCTAATACAAAGTGCATGATATTTTATAGGATAGAATAAAAGGATGGATTTATGTCCCTATCACTTTTGACGAAGATATCAAGACTTTCATTAAAAAAAAATAAGTACAGCCGAATTGGCAATCTGTTTATTTAAACACCGTCTCAAGCACTGGAGATATTTATTTTCAAAGTACTTACACATATTTACCTATTATTCAATTACTTTATAATATTTTTTACCTTAAATTTCATAATAGATTATAAAGTACGGGTATCATAAAACATTTTTCAAAATATCCGACGCCAACGGTATTAAAAATATTTAGGAAAGTAGTAATTTTAATTGTTGTCGCTCGCAACTACATAATTAATAAAATTTTCGGTGTTCAATAAGCAAAACAAATGAAAGCGGAGCGGAGTCCAAAATTTGAGCGTTTCCTTTGTCGGATTGTTGTAATAAAGCCTTTCTGTTTTAATAAATCTGATTTTCTAATTAAAGAACAACGTTATAGTCCCGAGAATTCCTTTGGACGTAAGAGCTGTATTAGGGAATATTTTAATAATTGAGATCGTTGAAACTCCGCTGAGAGAGTGCTCTTAGACTTGACGACACTTGTCGACAAGTTGTCTAACGGTGGTGAGGAGCTATTTATTCGATAAATTTTATTAATAATACATTAGTTGTATTGATTTACTCAGACTGAAAATTACTGCTTAATTGATTTTTTTATCATCAAAAATGGGGATCTCAACTTTGTACATTTATGACATTGGCGATGGCGTGTATAAAAGTAGCGTTCGTATCCATGTCTAGTTCATTTTAAGACCTTTGAAAGCTAATAAATCTAGATTAACTTGCTATTATATTGCTTAAGCCAATATTATTGACTAGCTGTGCCCGCGACTTCGTACGCGTGGAAAGTAGCCCAAGTTACTCCTTATTACATCAGCTATTTGCGTGTGAAAGGTCTGGCAAAATAATTTCAGCCGTTTTAGAGATTCATCATCATCAGCCCTTGAACGTCCCCACTGCAGGGTCTCAGGCCTTCCTTATGGATGGTTAAGGAGGATGGGCCATGATCCTCAACGCTGGCCTAATGCGGATTGGAGGGTAGAGATTAGCTTAGAGATTAGCCGGAACAAACAGAGAAAACCAGACAAAAAATGTAAAAAATATATATTTTGGTATATGTAACGTGGTATATGTAGGTATGCATTTAGTTAAAAGCGGTTATTTTAATATTACCAAGAAAACTCCAATTTTATTTATTTGAATGTAAAGATATAGATATTTGGTAAAACGTTGATGTATAATATTTAGCAGAGTTTAAATGCAACTTGTTTGTAAATTTACATTGCCGACCACATGGAATATATCTTGTTGGTTGGCAATGGTTTAGACAACTGCTGTCGAACTTCAACCGCTGAGAACATTGGAGAAAGTCAAGAACAGTCTGGTGCAAGAGGTTAGTGTACCGGGAATATGGAATGTTAAAATATTATACCTACTCTCAAATAAATTGGATATTAGATAGCATAAACGTTTTAAAATATTTATTAATAATAAATAAAATTCCATACATTAATAGTACAATATTATATTAAATATGTTTAGGTTTTAGATTTTGATTAAAAACCTAAACTCTGTTAAGATAAAATGAAGTTATTATATAAAATTATAACTTAATTTTATCATCATTACCCGGATCTGTCTTTATCACAATCCTACGATAGATAGATTTCAGAAAATATCACAAACATCTTAAATAAATTCTATAGTATCGTATCTTAGTGGTATTATGCGGGGATTTATCCCGGAAAATTTTCGGCTAACATTTCGCTTCGGCCTGAACCTGTCTCTA